CACTTACGTCAATGCATAGAACTTGAAGAAAAGTTTACTTGTTTGTAAAGACTAGGTGCCTAACTTCGATGGTAAAAGGTCTACATTATGAGTTTTCTAAGACATGATGTTGCAAAGAGATGAAGATAGAAAATTAAGACCAGCTAAAGGATCCCAAGTGTGTATTTTTTAAATGGGTGTCTGTCAGAGAGAAAAATACGTTTAAAGGTATTGAGTCATGGTAAATAGGCCTTCTCTACAGGGGCTTATTTGGTTTCGGCATGAAAGCTGCAGATTCATGTGATATTGGCATCCATTGTCGACAATATGCTTTTGAAGGAAACTTTTTTGTTACTAAGTACTAGGAGAGTTCATATGAGCCGTTCTAGTTCAACCAACAGCACTGCAGCACGAAAAACACGACTCAGCAGATTTGGGTACGTTTGGGTAAAACCTCTCCTGTTATCATGACCCAATGCCTTGAATAAAACGTTGACTGGAAAAATCCCAGGTAAAAACGGTGAATACTAAGAGCATGAATAATGAATATATTGAAGCAAAGCCTGAGATTCAAAAAAATTATTTTACTTCCAGGAAGGAACATTTAAACTGAGAACTTTCAAAATAAGCAAAAGATTAATTAGAAAGCAAAGCGAACAAATTATTCAAACTAACCCGAACCATGCTATCTCGTGTGTGATCTTGTAGAAACCTTTGACCGAGCAAGAATATTACTTTCTTAAGTGAAGAGCATACAATTTGAGTCCAAAATTGGTGATGAAGATCATTCAATTATCTTTTGCTTACATTCGGTCTTGGTCCATATATAATTTTGCATTTTTCAATGAGTATAGCTTAGATGGTCGTTCTATTCTCAAAACACTTGATTTTTCAGAACCCCTGAATGCCTAGAGATTTTTGTTCAAAGGCCTGTTTAAAATTCTTCATCTTTAAGTATCTTAGCGTGCTGCACAGGTTGTTAAAGGGGTATACTAAAAATTTCTGTATTAAAAGCAATAACATCAGACAAAAACGAGAAGAAGATTGGAAGCAGATCCAAAAATAGCAAAGAAACTTCAATATCTCCTCTATTTAGGAAAACGCTGCGTCCTTAATGCTGGCAGATCTTTTCTTTAGCGATCAACTAAGAAACCTTCCCTGTTATGTTCTCTTTCGGGTGACTCAAGCTCGAAAACGTTTAATGAAAGTCTCTAAGATTTGAATTTCCTAGTGGTAGTGTTTATAATTAGCATCGATTAGACATATTTCCACACGCACTTTAAGTCACGCATTGATGCTAATGAAATACTTGTAAAATTTTATCATTCATTTAATAAATAGCATACAAAATACTTCTATGCAGAGAATGTAACATTTAATATAAACAATACTCTTGAGTATTGCTACCTGATTCATAGAAAAAAATTAAGTCAAGGTCGACGGCCAATTTCAAATAGTCCAAATATAACAAGTCAATTCTCAAAACCTAGGCAGAAATGTAAAACAGCAACACTTGCAAGAAACCAACGTTGTAAACAAACGAAGCCGGGAGGACAACCGTACGTCTTATCACTAACTCTGAAAACACATGCGATGAAAAACACTAATTTTCGTTTCTGCACAAAACCACTATCGTTGTCATCTTTAATCCGCATTTAAACTTCAGGCCTCCAGTTTAGCGGTAAACCTGTTTAGCAAAAGGAAACAAGAACTTATGGATAAACTACAGAAAATATAAAAGCAACATCACAGCAGCTTTCATTGGAACCGAAATCAAGTCATCCACATAAATTTATGTTGTTAACGTCAAAACGAATATTCAGATACCCGCTTGATAAACATATACACGCTTACCGTTTGAGTCAAGGATAAGAACACGCAAAATCAGCATTGGGTGAGTCCTCACAAGTGTCCATGCTTTCAAATGTTTTGAAATTGGAAACACCAACGTTGACACTCAATCGACTTTGGTGATATGAGAAATCAGCCGAATGTAAATGGAAAGGAACAAAAGAAATTTTCAAGAAACAGATGTTTTTTATTCAAATCAGCAAGACCGAGGTTGTAAAGGAACCGACTGAAGGCTGAACAAATGCCGCAATTTGCTAAATTTGCAAATGTAGCCAACGAGCTTTGGTTTCAAGAGACCCTGTTCTTAATCATGCTTGAGAAGACTTCGTTCAATATAAAACGCGATGTATTCTCTCGCATCTAGTCTCGACTTTTTTTCGTATAATGGATGAATACTGTTTGTTAGGCAGATAACGAACTGGATGGTTGAGAAATATTGCGTATACTTTACAGACCAGTAGCTCGTAGCATGTTTGCAACGATTTCCATAGCAAATAGCTAACAAGCCAGTCAAATAGTAATCAGGAATGTGATAAAAGAGAGAAAAATAGCAGTGCAACACGACACTAAAGCTATTTATGAGGACAACAAAATTCTATACTGGGTTTTATTCATGGCCGTGTTTGCGATGGCGCACCGACAACCCAAAAAACATGGTCCAAATGATGAAAGAAGACCATCTTCTTTTATGTGATTCTCTACGTAACAATAACGTTCAATTATTCTGAGAACAATCTTACCTTTATTCGCTAACGTTTTTGTATGGTAACCTGAACCAAATATTAACTGTAATGTAGTAGGGTCTATTTTGTGTTGTGGTTGTTATTTAATTGGACTGAATGTGTAATTTTCTTGCAATTTGAACAAATGCAAGATGTGTATGTCAAAATGGTCATTTTCTGATCAAAAGATTACGCATCACTGTTTTTGAAATCAAATAAATCTAATGATGGGCTTTTGCAGCTCTGTACACATTTATACCATGTCTTTTCATGGAAATTCGTTTTCTTCTCTGTGGCCTTATCAACTGCTTTCAACTGTGTGTTTGCCATGTTTTCTAGGCCTGGTTTCAGCATTCGTTTATGCATCGCCTTATCTTGAATTGCGAAATGTCTACTTTTTTTAATCAACTTTGCTCATTTCATATAACAGCGACACTTGTGGAGGACTGAACACGATTGAAGTTACGAGGCAAGCCTCTATTTGACGATATCACACTGGTGTCATTTTGTTGAAAACGTTTCCAGTAAAGGTGCTGTCAATAGGTCCAAAGCTAGGACGTTGTCATAGATGAAAATTCGCATCGATAAGTTACGTGTTTTGCTCTCTTTTCTGTATTTAGAAATTCCGCGCGCAAACCAAACACGCTTGCGCCGCCTGAATATGATGCATGGCATGCTAAATTGCTTTACATTGATGTGCAGTCAGATGTTGAGAGCGTTTCAACCGGACTTGGCAGCGTACTATCTATAAAAAGTATTTGCACAATGTTCAAATGAAATCTTGTGTTTTAATCTTCGAGGAATTATTCTTGCTGACTGCTTCGAGACAATACGCAAACCGTAACACGCCCTCTCAACCAGTTTTATCTTCTCGTTCAAAGAAATATGAGCTCACTGCATTTTTAATGCCAATTCAAACCCAACACCGTTGGTTTCTCAAACACAAAAGCCGTGACGTTTTCAAGTTGCAACACAGTTTCAGACTCTAATGCATAAACATCAAACAATAAGGCTTTTTGTCTCTAAACTGTGCATTGAGAAACTTTGTTCTAGCTACTTACAGCCCTTACAGTGCTTCAGGTTCTATGAAAACGAATCCAAATAGGGATTTTGGCGATGGTATGCAGAAAGCGATATCAATTCCCCACCCTTTTGCTAAAAGCATAAGAAATTCGACCGGTTGATTTGAGGACCGCCAATAAGCAACACTCCATTCATCCAGCCCACTTAGCAAAAAGAATCGTATATGCTTTCTCTTTCTTCATAACTAGCTATATATACGTGGGTATGTTGATTTACAACACTTTAATCAGCAAAAGACTTTGATAAAAAACAAATACAGGGCAAAGTTTAAGCGACTGAAATGAGAAATAAAGGCAAATCTGCGTTGAAGCAATCGAATTTCATTTCCATATGACGTCGATTTTAACGTTATCTCACGAACCTTGCATTATCAAAGCCATTCTGCCTTAAAATCGCGTGCCTCAATGGCAAGTTTTTTAGAAGGTTGCGCAAGCGAAATCTAAATTAACCAAGGATGAGCAAAAATTAATCAGCCGACATTTCAATTATTCACTCGGTACGCTTTACATGATTACCTATGGGAAGTATGCCTACAAACGTTCTAGATATAATTTCCTCATTTTTGCTTACGTACAGTCCCTATAGTTTCCATCGTGTTCAACGATTCAATTCAATAATTTGATCGAATCTGTAGGGGTTGCACGGCGGCTTCTTCGCCCAAACAGCTCGCACCTGGCGAATGATCCACACGAATGACTGGAGAGGTCGTTTACAGCAGCTTTGATTTCAAGGAACATAAACGTCTCCGTCTAATGAATGTGCACCTCTCGACCGTGGCTAAGCCGCTTTCGCTTTGATTTCGGTGATTTAGGTTCTATGACTTTTTAATAGTTGCTGATAAATACTGAAAATTTTGTGTGTACGAGATTTGAAACTTTAAAGAACCACTTGCTAGATGAGGAGATTCGCCTTCGTTGGGTAACAGGGTTTATATGCTTATGCAATTATTTCATCTGAATAAAACAATTTAATTTAACATTAAGTATATTCAAACCTTAAATACTCCAAACCACAATGAATAGACTAGATTTAGAGCATTTCTGTAAGTTTATATGCAAATTCAACTGCATTTTGATCAAAAAACAGAAAGAGGAAAATTCACTCAAGCCTTTGCAACAAAGTCAATAATAAAATACTTTTCCTATGATACTTAGATACTAGATTTACATCAATTTGACGGCAGTAATGTTTCGACAGCACTATTACGACAATATTGCTCGTATTGTGAAAGATTGCATTTTTTGCGCAAAATAGGTTGTCACTTGGCCTGATAATAAATAACGGTAGCATTTTCTTAAAAGATTCTTGAAGGATTTCTAGGAAAAAAATTATGTCATATAATGATATGAACTATTCGAAACTCACCGAGTCTTTAGCATCCATTAGCACCGTTGTGAAGACGTCATTATCGTGTGTCCTTCATACTTGCTGAATTGCGCTGGCGGTTTTCATTCAGTAATCTGCACGTGGAATTGTATCATACTCAATGAATGACAATCCAGGATTCGATTTGATTATTTTATCTTTACACATGATTCATCAACAAACCTTTTTAATCCAACCTTCTAAGATAGGATCAAAGATTAAAACAATTTTTGCCTATTATTCTCGTTTTCCGTAATCCCCAGATTTCTCCATATTTTGCTCATCCCTTCATCTGTGCTTGCAATTAACGGAATTTTCTTTTCCCACAAATTCCTTTGAACTGAGTTATTCTCTGCCTCATATTCGTTTCAACAACGTTGCAATTGACTTAGAAAATCGAGGCCATAACTATACATCGAGGCCGTAGTGTTACTACGAAGTATCAAGTTCGTAATTATGCATCGTAATTAACCAATCATCACGTTGATAATAAATGTTGCTTCAGAAGACTGTACAGGAGATTCAGTAATGATTATGGGCACAGGAATAGAGTAAAGAATTGAAAATCAAATACAAAATAACGAGAAAAAGGGATCAAGAATTTAAACCACAGGCCCTGGACAGGTACACACGGAATCGTTTATATCACCAAGGCTGTTCTGTTGAGAAGCCATGGGTAAAAAGATTGAGCAACTTGGTTAAAAGGGTGGTTGCCCTCAATCTGAATATCTGATATGCTGTGCCTAGCGTATTCTGAGTTTTGCTCTTAATCGCAGCTCCCGCTAATTAGCAAGAACGTTGTCCGACAATCACAATAGCGTCGCAAAACAAAAACCACCAGAATATTTTCAAGAGAAACTCGGGTTGCGCTTTAAAATAAAACAAAGCAACATGTTCATGGAATGAGAATTTGGACAGCTTCTCTTTGCTTTTTTATTATCTCTCGTCCTTTCTTCTCTCTTAAAAGGAGTACTAAGCATACAGTAATCGTTTTATCCTTCTAGAAAATTGCTGCTGAATCACCATATAAATATTGCCAAATTGAAACTAGACTAATTGCAATCAGGCCAGAAAACCAATTTTTCCATTTCAGGTTTCCTCAAATGTATATATGCATTTGTTTTAGTTTCGATACAGGCAGCCAGTCTTGCTGTCTCACTAGAATAATCTCACATCGGAAAAAGTACAAGTTTTGCAACTCAGGTAAATTACAGAACAGCCCGGCTGGTATCATCAAATCCGTTTATCTCAGTTTAAAAGACCCTTGTTACTGAAAAATTAAGCATTTCTTGTTTGGAATCAAATCACTACGTGCTACCACCTCTAAGAAAACTTCTTTGCAATTAGAAAACCATGCCCTACTATCAAATATCTACATTAAAACTGTATGTTAGCTTGTGCTTCGATTGAATGATCATGAATTGTATAGAGCATAAAATTAGATGATATTAATGTCAAACATTGATCGATGTAGGCCATCTCTGACAGATTGAAGAGCTACCGTGCCTAAATAATAAAAAATGAAATTAACTACAATCCTGTATAAGCATCACCTTAACCTGAATGATTACTTTTTGTTTTATCAAGGTTTTTACTTAGATTACATTAATCTCTTATTTAGATATTTTCATTTTTTTGCAATATTGCAATTTACTTATTATCAAAGTTTAGTGTAATAATTTGTTTATATTGCTGATATATATAATATTATATGTTGAAGATTTAAAATATGAAACTGAAACTGAATTATAACAAAAAAGGACGCATATCAAACCTAGGTCATCGCATGCTATCTTTTATCCAGTATATCAGTAGTTTTTGAATGTCAATATTTTTATGCAAATCAAAAACTACCAACATTGACAAACAAGTAAACATCACCTAGAGGTCAGGATTGTGACAAATGATTGCTAAATACAGTCAAAAACAGATTTTGAAAATGACAGCAGGCGAGCAAGTAACTAGTCGGATACCAGCTCTAAGGAGGACGTTTGTTGTGTTTTTTGTGGTCAAATATGCCAACCAAAGAACACCGCCCATAAAGAAATATCCACAACCTTACTCCGCTTAAACTTGTGTGAGTAAACTCATTAAAAATGCATTTAGTGGGATTTTATTACATGAATAAGTTTCTGCTCAACATAAATGGAAAATAGTTATTCCAGAAAGAGCAAGAATATGAGATTTTAAGAAGGGATCAAGCAGTAGTTAAAAGGGAATAGCATCCAGTAGATTTTTAGTTTATTTCGAGTTTCACTACACACCAGCGCGACTCAAAACATTAAGGAAAAGAGAGCAAAACCATTTGATTGGGCAAAACAATAAAAGTGCGGCTGTCGAGGCAGAATTTAAGGAAGTAGCGTTAGTTCAGTATTCGTTGAAAAACACCCTTTGAATTCAATAAGATTTTCATTTAGGAAAAAGCTTTCTTCGGTAACATCCACTAAAGATGGAAAGCGTGATATTTCATCTGAAAATGAAGGAACAATTTATCTTGACATCAGCCCTCCAGGATAATGCCGTAAATGACCAAAGTGCAAAAACAGAAGGAAAGAAAGAAGTTGAAATATAATCGAGAGTTTTTCTCAACAAGAATACGCCAATTAATTTACATGCAGCGAACTCTTCTTGGAGTTGCTTTTCTTCAATATAGATTGATGCTGACAGTGATAAAACGAAACTATTAGAGCAAATGGTTACATGTCAAGAAAACAGGATTTTTGATGGCTTAACTATAGGAAAGGAAACAGATCCCTTCAAAGAATACTACCGAAGTTTAATGTAGTATAAGATACGAGTAGCACGCTATTTGGTGTACAGAACAGGAAGGTTCTTAGTCGCTACTTCTAGTTTCACGTTTAATGTGATCACCAGGCGGCTGTTCGAATCAACAGGCAGGTGTTCGAATCATCAGGCAACTTGTATGATACGGGGAATGCCTTTTCTGGCTGTCGCATTATCAAAATTTTACTGTGTTGGAATTGAGTGGTAGCTGGTGATACATAACGGAAAAGACATTGAAATTATCAATATGACTCTAAATCTTAAGGTGTCTCAACGACTTTAAGCAGGCAATATAAAGCAGAGTTATATATATATAAAGAAGGAAGAAAATCCGCAAGATTACCAGCTTAGGGAAGGATTAATAAGATAAGAAAAAATGGTATTCCTTGAGTAAAGAAAATCGCTTTCTGCAGCCAGTGCTAAGTACTAACACACTTTAGTCAACGAGCTGATGACAAAAATGCTTATCAAGCAAGATTTTCAATCAAGGTCACTGGAGACAATACTACAACCAAATATTGCTAGAAAATCAAATGCAACCAAATATTACTAGTAGATTCACAAACAGCAACGGCATAGCTCTACAGTTTAATTTTCTGCGAACGATATTTGTCGAAGTGATGTTAGTGATTTGATAACATACTTTATGTTGCAAGGGACAAGCCAATGGACAGACCCCAAAGGAGAAATCTCCTATTTGCCTTTAAACTTGAAGCACAGGTCGTTAGCTGGTATGCGCATAAAACAACAAACCTTGGCCATCAGTAGAGATTATATGCAATTAATGTCATAATATATTTAAAACCTAGACATTTTGTGCTCCATTTGCATTGAACTTCTTAATTTGAGGAGGTTTTTGCATGAATGGAGAAATTGGTAAAATAAAGACGTAAACTTCTAGCATTGAACAATTTTTCACTTCCAGAAAGCATGGACTCTGTGTTTGGTTGGCAAGTCAACATTCGTGCGATAACCATGACGAAAAACCCTATCAATAACAAAGTTTATAAAATCTTAATTTAGGATTGTTATTCAAATCGTATTACTGTGATGTTTATTCAATGTAACCAAGAAGATCAAAATTGGTTATCAACCATATTCTGTCCTAACAACATTGGATATAAACACAGCAAGGTGGATGTCTCTGTGACGCAGGCTGGGACGTCTCTACCTGGCGTTTGGATTAAATGGACTATTTCTTGCTGAGCTTATGCAACTTCATAGAAAATTCATTAAATAAAAAATATCGATAGAGTAAAAGAAAATAGTGAAAAGGAACTCCTAATATATGATAACTTTTTAAAAAGCAATAAGCGTTTTTTGGCTTGACCTACAAATTGTAAAGAATTTGGTCAAGTTCTCGAAAAACCTTTTCTTCTGGAAGCATCACTGTCCAGATCAAGTAGATATTATTTTCCACACAAGAACTCACTTTTTGATTGATGGTGCCTTGAGTGAAGGCCAAAAAGGCGCTAGTTAATGGAAAACTCTTAATATCTATGTGCCTAACATTATAGATCGTCGAAGTTTGTTTATCCCACTTTACAAAACTTGAACGCACTGACATTTGCAATATAGCATCTAACTAGACCCTTTGATCCTAGGAAGTCGCCCACTCGGCGTTTCATTTGAACGCTTGGGAGATGCATTCTAATAGGCCTCTAGTCACCAGTTAGTTGCCCATGCGGCGCTTAACAAAAAAGCTCGGAGAAAAACACTTTTGACAATCTTATAGGCCTTTCTTTATCTACTGTGTCGCCTATTTAAGACAAGCGTTCCATTATAAACTTACTAGCGTAAATGGGTTTCTGTTATCTGCAATTGAAATGATTGTCATCAAAAACATATGTTCACTTTCATTTCTACAACTGCAGTGTGGGTGGTGGCAATACAATACCAATAATGAATTAATTGATGAGCAGAAGACACATGTTCTTACTAAAATGACAATCGACATTGCAAAGCATTTTAAGCTATAGCCCCATGCAGGGTTTTCTATTTAATCGACCCGCCCATTCCATGGAAGACCCCATATAACTGATATCCTCATTTATTTCCCAGACATGCAATATATTGACCACTTGTTCCTTGATTACAACGTATTGAATTCTTAGTTAACCACCCCCGGAATACCTCGAGGGGAGTTTTTTTAATTATGAACGTATAACATTGCTTCTCGAGCCAGAGTATTTATTGCTTCATACTGTGCTGAAATGTTAAAACAGGATAGATAACAACTTCGAAGGATAGATAACGCATCGGAAGCATTGTTGAAGATGATTTCAAAAACGGAAATCAAGCCTAAATTGAACTCTAGGTGTTCCTTTCTTTTCGAAAGCTCAATCCATGCTGATCACTGCAGTTTTGGAGGACGCGCGGTCGACAACTTTTGCAAACGCTACTTGAATTCCAAGTCTAATTTTTGTCTCATTTTAATTTTTGTCTCATTTTCATGTATTCGTTTCTTATGGCCAATCTCTTTTTGGAAAACAAGTGTATTGCGAAGATGCATCTTTGACCTCTTACCTTTTCTGATCTTGGATGTGTCTGACTTTGAGGCGTGTGTCAAACAATAAAGCTCTCGTCTTTTACATTACATTAGCAGGTTTGACAATTTATTTATAAAAGATGAAAATGGAACAATAACGCTAGGATGTCAACAGGGCAAAAAGTTGATTCTCCGTTTCTTAAGGAAATATTGACGAAAGATATTGAAGAGATCAATAAAACCATGCATATAAGCAGGTATTCTGATATATTGTGAAAAGTTATTGCAAAGGTCTGTCCTCTTGAATTACCAAAGAAACTTAGATAATGGCTAGTGTGGCAATGAGGATTTAGGTAACTAGAACTTGAATGAAAGAGTTTGAGCACATGCACGAAGACAGACAAATGAACCAAAGACTTTGCAAGACACACCATATCCAAGAATCTCTCTTGATTCGAGCAAAAAATGTGTACGAAAATCAATTTGTCAGTGCAATAAAATGTTTTCTTGTAATTTAGGCTGTTTCATCCGAATTTCAAAATTTGGTTCTTGAAGCCCGCCTTTTTAAGCTCAAATTCGTCAAACTTATGTCTTCAAAATTCTTCCAAGACGATCTGCAATGTGGGAAGATCTACCTGTTTCTATATTGAAAGGACACAATTTCAAAGGTCGCTGTAATCATTAAAAAAAATTTATCACTTAGCGTCTATATTGCTTCAGAAATATCGTTTTTTCACATGGTATGCGTACCTCCTTCACTGTTTGATTTGTAACGACTACCCATCAAAGCAGGCCATCATAGTATGAATACTTTCCATGACTTTAAAATTTTCCCTTGATAAACTTGACAACAAATTTACAATAATTGCGTTTAAACCTAGATCAAACTAATAATTCATACCAAATCATCGATGCTTTGAATTTTTGCCTTTCTAACTGCAAGATCTTCATTGATCATTTTACCAAGAGATTGATTGTTGCTAGAACACAGCAAGTCTTCGCCAAAATGCAAACGCCTGTTTGAACAATACGCGTTTATAAAGAAAAGGCTCAATCGTTCAAAAGCCATTCAACAACTTGCTTTCATGTTTTCATGCCACAGAAATAGTGAAAAAGAGAAGCTTTTTGTTGAAGCAAAATACTACTATCTTAAAATCACCTATGGTTATTTGAGGCCACCGTTTTGAGGCCACCGTTTTGAAGCCACCGTTTTGAGGCCACCGTTTTGAGGCCACCGTTTTGAGGCCACCGTTTTGAGGCCACCGTTTTGAGGCCACCGTTTTGTGACAACTGTTTTTAGGCCACCGTTTTTGGCCACCGTTTTTTAAGGCACCAATTTGAGGCCACCATTTTGAAACCATCGTTTTGAGGCCATCGTTTTGAGGCCACCGTTTTGAGGCCATCGCTTCTTGTCCGATTTTTTGAGGCTACAATTTGAGGCCATGATTTCAAGATATGTAATTAATTAAATATCAGGTAGGTTAACAAGGCAAGATACTTTAAGACACAGCAGTAGTCTGTTCAGGGATAGGTTCAAGCAAGGGTTGATCTACTCAAAAGTTGGGTTCAGGCCAGGGTTTGGTACACGCCAAGGCTGGATTCAAACCAGGGTTAGATTCAAGCCAGAAATGGACTTAAGCAAGGGATCGGTTTAAGCCAGGGTAGGGTTAAAGCAAGGGTTGGGTTGAAGCCAGGGTTGGATTCAAGGCACGATTGACTTGTTCTACGCCTTATTGAATGGAGATCCTGAACAAGTTCACAAGGCACGATTGACTTGTTCTACGCCTTATTGAATGGAGATCCTGAACAAGTTCACATATAATCTGTAAGTTATGCAACAAGGTATAATGTATAATACATAACGTACTGCAGTATAACATTTACTTCAAGATGATATTTGATTTCAAATTACGTAACAGAAACATATCATAACAATTTTCTTGTCATTTATGATTCTCTCATTTGTTGGGTTCAATCCAGGATTGGGTTAGCCTTAAGCCAGGATTAGGTTCAAGCCAGGCTAAAAAGTTTCATCCAAGGGTGGCTTATGCTGCATCCGAGTACATATTTGCTTCCAAATTGGAGATAAATTTTGTGTCTTCATGCTAACAAAATCCCCAAATATTCGCAGAAATTCCAACTCTTTTCCAGCATATAGACCAACTGGATAACAATACTGATAATTTTCTTTCTAATCAGTGACCAACAGTATGTGAAAGATATTTTCTGTTCTTTGCTTTGCATGTAGTTTTTGAGCAACTACTGTCCACCAAGAATATTAATTATCAATACAGTTCAAAGAGATTATGTAAGCAAAAATAGATTTTCCGAAGAGTTGAAATTGGCTAAACTGCATGTTTAAAAGCTATTTTTCAAAATATATTCTTCTCCTCATTACATTTACACAATCTTTCAAAAATTAATCATGTCAGTTAAACCTAGATACCACTTCATCACTGAAATAATTCATCTGCAATCTGGCATCCAGATTAAAAAACTCCTTTGCACTTATACGAAAAATATTGACATGAAGCAAATTTCACTCCAATTCCAGCCTTTAACACCAATATCAAATATTATCTTTAATCAAATAGAAGCAGCACAAAACACTAGTGAAAAAGCATATTTTCTATTTTTGACAATTGTTAGCACATTTCTTGACAATATTGTCTGATTGATATGAAATGATCCATAAAAAACAGTAACGTACCAGGGTAAGATTTATTTAAGCTGATCAAACGTGGTAGATATTCATAACCTCTCTCTAACATTTGTTTCAGTGTCCTATTTTGCATTGACATATTTTTTCAAAAAGTATATCAAAAAAGAAAAATAAGAGATCAGCTTAATCTGGAAAAAATGGGAGTAATCGAGTGTCGTAGAAAAGTCTTAAATCTGTGAATCTAAATTCAAAACATCTTATCATAAAAAACTATTAATCAATCCTTGAAAATTTTATCGAGCATGATTGATTCTAAACATGTCAAAATTTTATAGCATCAATTTACGTGGAAGATTTTTCAAAACATCAAACCAAGCGACGAACCAAGTTTCCAAAACATCAAACTAAAGGCTTACTCCAAATTTCTTTTGTAGTCACAACATACCACAAAAAGTATTTTCTGTTCCAAAACACAAACAACTAAATGCATTAAAATTTACTACCTTTGAGCCAAAATTAATTCAAAATTAAAAGTGATATTGACCGAGGTGCTTTGTGTTCTTTACTTGTTTTGAATTCAATCAAAAAAGATTCATCAATCTCATTAAATTTTTCTAGCATAGCCTGCATCTGTTGCCCCGTCATGGCTGCCCGAACGAAATGTAGGCCATTAGCCACATTCTCAAATATTTTTTTCTAAAAAATTGGCTTCTTGGAAGCAAAACGTCTATCACAATATTTCGTTGCGCCAGAAAGATAAAGAAGCTTGCTCTTTGAGTCCCTAATAAGTCGAAAACAATCAAATGAGTGTCCATGATATATCAAAACATCTGAACACACCATCAAATTTACCATAAAAACTATACCATTAAATAGGCCATGCAAACAATATAATACTACCCACCTCGTCTCCTAACATGAAATGATATTAAAATCGTATATATCATTCACAGTTTAAAAATGCAGACAGGGGGCCTCACAAATCACCCAATCACCTCCTTTTATGCAACAACACCCAAATAGCGCTTAAAACCATGCACATAGTCACATATTCTTTTGTTTTTAGCGCTCATGAAAGCTTTGCCCCTTTCCCCCCCCCCCCCCCTTCCAACTCGAGGTACGTTCCCCTTTCACTGGGTTGTAGTGATGCAAAGCTACCCTAAAATTGGGTTAGAGACACAAGATGAACATCTCATCACAAAAGTGGTCACAAGTGACCAATTTGAAGCGTAAATTGGCGAAAAGAACGAAAGGCAGAGGCAGACTAATTGGAGAGAAGACCCGAAATTGAGGTTGATAACATCTGCTCCATATTTTGCACAAAAAATACAACAACCTGAAGACCAACAAACCGTCTCTGTCCAAGAATATGGGACACTCGATAAAAATTAACGAGCAGGTAACATGCAAAGCATACACACTGATTTTATAAATAAAATATGGAAAACGAGTTTCCATTTTTCAAAATTACTTGTTAAATAGTATAGCTTGTCTCAATCACCTCTGACAACATAAAAGCTATTATTTTAACTTACTGAAATATAGACAACGAATTCATGGGTTTTTTCATCTTTCCTCAACCCAAACACTAGCATACCTATTTCAAGTCATATAGACCACGAGCAAAAGCGATGTTTTAATACCATAAATAAGGTTACCAAGCATGGAATAATTTCTCAACTTTTCTGAGCTATTGCAAAATGCAGGGCAACTTTTGGAGACGCTTAAGCATGTTCAGACACGCTTAGTTTAATTACTCCAAAAGCACGATCTTTATATTGCACGTGGAAGTTAAATAATATCGACAGACAATCCCAAACAAAGACAGCACGAAATAGGTTGGTACTGATTTTAGATTCTATATTTGAAAATTTTTTCAAACATTTCTTTAGTCGTGTCGTAGACCAGATGAAAGGATTCTTTCCATTATGTACATGGTAACATCAAATACTCGCTAATACTCAAGTACATATGTCAAAAGCCCCACCTTCTTAAAACAGCGTCGATATAAAGATCAGTCCCTGCCATACAACTTAAAGTAAACATGAAATCTGTAGAGCATTCAAAGAATTTGAAATCATTGTACCTGCTCTTGGAGACTTCACAGTCAAATCAATCGTTTTCACTTATAAACGGCATTACAATCTGCATCCATCAACCACTGCAGCTACTCAACTTGGTCTGTAATTGAAATAAATATGATCAGCATTAAGGCTGAAAAAACACTAAAATTTCTTGATTTGAAGCTCGATCGATGACTTGCTTTTTCCTCATAGATTAATACAGCAGAATGTTAATCAAAGGTCGTTAAACCAGGTGTTTTAGTAGGGCATACGTCGCTTTTGCATAACAATCAATCGACCTTGAGTAGAAGAGAGCAAAACACGCTTCAAGCAGGTCTTGATTGAGACAGATTCAAAGCGATCTACTTTTCTCGAGGAGAGGAAATATCGCGTCATTTCTTGCAACGTTATTTCAATTTCCATATTCAAACTACGTCGGATTTATTATTGATTTCGAAGATGCGATGTGACCGCTAAAGGAAGTTATAGAAGGTTATCATAAAAAATTGATAAAATATCAAAGAAATAAGCCTAAAAAATGAAAAAAACAGAAACTATCTTATATACTACGAAATTAAAGATCTAGCGACAAAACAAGATTTTTCTGAGCTCCGGACAAAGTTTGGATGGATAAGCATGGTTGTTTTTGAAAATTTGACTGAACTGTTACATAATTTAAAAGTTACACAACCCAGTATATGTATATATCATTATAGGTCCATGCATAGTGCATGCTTTGGCATATGATATACAATGATTACATTACATATTGTAATATTTCATTTACTTTTAGATAATATTTGATTTAAAATTATGTTCCAGGGGTATAACGTAATAATTTGCGTGGCGTTTATGAATGATATTTTCTTATATGAACACAACGCAACTTTATCTTAAAAATTGAATTTTTAACACTGTAATTCGAACTTGTGATATAGACCCGTCAAAGAAACTCGTTGAATTTTGTCTTAGAATATTTGTGGAAATTAGTTATATAAATAGCATTGCAAAGGTTACTTGATGTCAATTTTTCTCCCTGTTTAATTCAAATGAATTCAAAATTCAATTCAAAGCCCAATCTTGGAAGTTTGAAGCTAGCCAATTGCGACCGTCCCGCCGTCCTTCCCCCTTTTTCTCTCAATGGTGCTGATTGGTCATT